GGCAGGGCAGGTCGGGCGGCTCGGTAGAAAGGCGGCTCGGCTACTCAGCGACTCGGCTCCCGGGCGGCTCGGCTCCCAGGCGGCTCGGCGGGGCGGCTCGGCTGCCGGGCGGCTCGGGTGCAGGGCGGCTCGGCTGCACTGCTGCTCGGCGGTACGGCGGCTCGGCTGCTGCAGTTGGGCGGCTCGGCTGCTGCAGTCGGGCGGCGCGAGAGCAAGGGGCGGTGGGGCCGTGAGTGCTGGGGCGGCGGGGCCGCGAGACCAGGGGCGGCGGGGCCGCGAGACCAGGGGCGGCGGGGCCGCGAGACCAGGGGCGGCGGGGCTGCGTAGTAGAGGCGGCGGGGCCGGGAGCGCTTGGGGCGGCGGGGCCGCGAGATCAGGGGCGGCGGGGCCGCGTATCAGGGGCACCGGGGCCGGAAGCGCTGGGGCGGCGGGGCCGCGAGATCAGGGGCGGCGGGGCCTTGAGCGCTGAGGCGGCGGGGCCGTGAGATCAGGGACGGCGGGGCCGCGAGCGCTTGGGCGGCGGGGCCGCGAGATCAGGGGCGGCGAGGGCCGCGCTCTCAGGGTCAGCGGGGCCGCGAGATCAGGGGCGACGGGGCCGCGAGATCAGGGGCGGCGGAGCCGCGTGAGGAAGGGCGGCGAGAGCCGCGAGAGCAGGGCGGCGAGGCCGCTAAGGCGGCGCGAGGGCGGGCAGTGGGGCGCGGGCGCTAAGGCGGCGCTCGGGCTGCTAGGGCAGGCGGCTCGCTAAGGCGGCGCTCGGGCCGTTAGGGCAGATCGAAAAAAAAAGTAAGAGCAAGGGCCCGGAGCGCGCTCCGGGCAGAAAAAAAAGGTTCGATGTGGTGGGCCCTAAGCAAAGTTCCCACGGGGGAACCTGCTCGATACCATGAGAAATTTAGAACGAGAATGAAATGACTATGAATGAAGTGAGTACAAATAGGAAACCCTAGTTGTGTTGTACCCCCTATGGGATACCCCACTATAGCCTACACAAATAAGTAAGCTATAACATTCCGACAAAACCCACCGCGTCCGAGATGCGCCTTCCCGGGATGAAGCCAAACTGCTCCCGTGAAATCACCCTGTGCAGGACCTTTTTAATTCTGCTCGCCAGAACTCGCGCCAGTAGCTTATAGCTGATGTTCAGCAGCGTGATGGGACGGTAGTTCTCTAACTGCTCCTTCGCTCCCTTTTTGTGCAGAAGGATCGTCACCGCATCCTTAACACTGGTAGGGAGTGAAGAGGACTGGCTGAACTCCCAGACCAGCTCCATGACATGCTTCCCAAGCTTGTCCCAGTGCAGCTCAAACACTTCCTTTGGTAAGCCATCCTTCCCCGGCGTTTTGTTGCTCGCCATCTCATGTAATGCTGTTCTGACCTCCTTCTCCGTCCACTCCTCTTGCAGCATCTCAGTGTCGGAATAGATCAGCTTCTTTCCTGCAGCGGGTACCCAGTCAGAGATCACAGTGCGCTTATCTTCACCGAAAAGGCTACGAAAGTAGTCAGACGCCGCTTTTAGTATCTGCTTCGGCCCCGATACCACCCCCCCGGGAACAGCAACCTCCGCAATTTGTGTTCTGGACTTCCGCGTCTTAATCCGCGCCGACAAGTGAGGTGATGGAACCTCTCCAGACAACGCCAGCTCCAACCCAGCCATGATACTCATCCTTTCTCTCCGCCCTGCGAAATACTCCTTGAGCTGCTGCTCACGCTTCCTCAGCTTTTCTCTCAGCATTAAGTCTTTCGGGTTCCGCATGAACTCTTGCCGTAGAGAAGCCACCGCCGAGGTAAGGTGAGCAATAGTCGCGCGTATTCTCTTGCTCTCCTCTTTAGCGTATGCCCTCAGACTGGAGTTCAGGCGAGAGATAAGGGACGTGAAGCTCCCTCCGTTCTGTTCAACTATCCGCACCACTTCCTCAATCTTCTTCTTAGCCCCGGGTCTGCCCAACAGTGAAGGATGAAGACGCCATACTCCCGGCCCCAGCTTCAGTTGTGACTTAAGCTTGAAAGTCACCCGGATGGCAAAGCCGTGGTCGGAGACTGGTTCATCTGGCGAAACGTGCTCAGCGATCACCAGGCGCGGAAGCAAGGATTGAGAGACCAGCGCCCGGTCGATACGTGAGCTCTATTGGTGCGCTTGCGAGAAAAAGGTGAATTCTAGGTCCCCAGGGTGGAGAAAGCGGAAAGCGTCTGTGACACCAACGGACTGACAGTGATGGTAAAGAAAGTCGTTCTCTCTGGTAGACCCAAGCTTAGAGGTCTTATCCAGCAGCGGGTTTTCAATGGTGTTGAGATCTCCTATAATAAGCAGGTGAGTTCCTGGCGGGACGAGGCTAATGATTGGTCCAAGAACGATTCTAATGAAGGCTCTCTTTTCTGCCTTGTTTGCTGGTAGGTAAGTGGCTATCAGGGTAAGATGAAAGGTGGAGCAGTGGATTTCTGTCTTAATCAGTCTTCCCGAGGGGTGAGCTAAGGGATTGTGAAAGGAGAGATCTGTGCGCCGGCTGAGAACTGCAACTCCTCCAGCACGGGTCACAGACGAGGTGGCTGAGAAGAATGGAAGGTTCAGAGAGGACCAGTAGGGGTGATCTGCAGCTACTCTGGTATCTGAAAGAATCATGACATCTGCGCCTTTCTTGCTGTTGATCCAAGCAGTTGTTCGCTTCCGTTTTGTGAAATCTCCCAGGCCGTTGACATTCAGGCCCGCAAATGACAGACTGTTTCGTGTAATCATTTAATCACTCCTTCCACGCCTCTACGCATCCACAGGCAGGTAAGACAAGACACAGCAGTTAACATCGATCCAGCCGCAAACCCTCTGGTGAGCTGAACCGGGTCCATCAGATTCCGAACTCCTTGCGAACAGTGTGGAGATTCTCCCTCTCCCGTGTTAAGCGAGAGACAGCACCAAGCTCCCCTTGGCCATGCAGATGACGTGCGGAAGTGATGTGCTCCGCAGCAGTGATAAACAGCTTCCCTTGCCTTGACACTTCCCATTTCGGTTTCCAGGACTCCACAATTCACATTCACGCTGCGCATGATTTTCGCAGCAGCCATGGATTTCTTCAGGGTATTCAATCCAGCATTCCGTGAAGCAGAGTTACCAGCTGGCTTTAAGATTCACAGCTTAATACTCCTCTTATCGCGACGAATCGATTGGTACATTTTTTATGTTCATCACACGAACATCGTATCAAAAGCTTCTCGGGATCAGCTGTTACGTATCTACGTGCTGGCTACTTCCAAAGCTTCATTATCTGTTCCCCTGGAGTTAGCTCATTGCGCATCTCACAAGAGCTTCGCGCATTATCGTCATTGGTCCTCTTTATTTCATGATACTACCAAGGCTACTGATGACTCTCCTCAGGTTTTATCAGCCACAACCCAGCACCTGCATCGGGAATACTGGTTCGACAATGAAACTTTATGGATATATTCTGTCGGGCTCAGACACACAGCATTACAGGCATTTCTGGCCTTTGCAAGTCGTCTGTTGCTGCTTTATTATCATCATCGCCCTATGGCGCCGCGTCCTCCTCCCAAAGAACGCGCTCCGCTGTTGCCGAAGAGTGCTGTTGTCACTGACGCTGCTTCAATGCCTGCTGGCAAGGGGAAGAAGGTGGATGACAATGAGCCGGTTACTCCGGTTGCGGGAAGTTCGGGACTATCTCTGTAAGAAAAGCTTGCTGCGCTTGCCTTGGCGAATGATAATGGTCTTGATGACGAGTTCTCGGATGATGACTCTGACACCGAGCTGGAGTTTGAAGTCTCCAAGGACTCCACTGCGACACTCCGTTACACTGCGATACTGCTGCTTCCTCTGGTTCTTCAGCCGGAGATAGCCCTGGTTATCGTCACCGCGAGAATGTTGCTGAAGCGTGTCTGGTCTGCTTTACTTTCTGACGGAGCTAACACATTGGTTGACTTCCAAGATATTCACCCTGCATACGTGGCGAAAACCAAGTACAGTAGGCTCCAGTTATCATTTCTGAAGGAAGCTGATGCCATCAAAGTGCGTCAGGCAGCTCTGGAATATCAGAAGCCTAACGGATCGACGTACCCGCTGCACTGGCTACACACGGAGAATGCGGCTTTCGCGAAGGAGAAGGCCACGAATCCGCGCGTTATTGAAGCTATGTTTAAGGACATACCTGCGAGTATCACTCCGGAGGCGGTTGAAGAGATGCTGGTGACGTATAAGCTGAAAGTTCGCCAGGTCACGCCATTCCTGGAGAGCCACTGCTTTCACCGCGTTGTGCACCCTGTATCTGGAGCTAACACAGGGGTTATCAAAGGGCTGGTTGTACCGCACCCTGAAGATAAGAAAAGGCGCTGGATTCATCAGGTCAACCATCCGCACGAGAAGGGCAAGATGCTCCTGGTTCATTACCCTTTGCTCTCCTGTCGGCTCTGTGGGGGACAGCATTATGATAAGTTTCATGATGCCTTTACCACTGACCGACAGCATAACATAGGGAAATGGAGCTTGAGCTTGGGTCGTGTGCATGGGATTAACGGTAACCGCGTAGCAGCACACTGCCATGATTCTTCCTGCCTTACCTGCCATCCAGTAACTAACCCTCCGGCCGTTTGTCGCAGCTGCCTCGCTTTCTGCAACGCGTCTGGTTCGCCCGATCCTGCTCGATCCCGCGATTGTTCTTATCTCAACTGGAAGCGCAAGAGAGGAGTGGATCTGTGTTCAGAATGCATTCGTTTATAGGTACAGTGAAATTTTTTGAACCTCGAGACGTGTGTTGGCACTAAAAACCCCGAAATGAACGAACTGGACACGCCCTTATGTTGTTTGGTCGCGCTTTCCGTGATTCCTTCCTTTTGCCACGCACTCCGAATTTCCCCGAGAGATTTCCGCGTCTTTCCCGTAGCTTCCTGCTGATCGTCCCGCGATTTCAGGACCGCCAATGATGAGATGGCGAAATTTCCCTCGTAGTGTTGCCTGAAGGTATTTAGGTTATGAGACGTTCAGGCAGCAGTCGCTAGGTCGGTAGATGCTCAGGCTGCATCTGGTTTTTGAGACGTCTCTAAAGCCGTCGCCAGGGTAGCTGATTAAGTTGGCAGACGCTCGCCCTGCAGCCACTGCGAGCTCACAGCGCCAGTGAATTCAGCGAATTCGTCGGCGAATTCGGGCTAGGTCGGTGAATTCTCCGCGAACAAGCCAAATCGGTTCCTTGGAATTCTCTGGGGAACGTCTAGGCGGCTCGCCTCTCATGGCGTTTCCGTCTCCTCCTCCGTCGCCTTCTCCTTCCCCTAGCCCAGATTCTTCTTCCTCCGTTTCTCCCGCTATTATCCCGTTCTTCTACACCGCGCTCTTGCTTCTACCGGTGATCCTCGTTTTAGTCCGCTTCTATATCCGATCGCGCGTGAAGCGACACTCGTTCGGGTTCTTCCATCCCTTCACCAACGATGGGGGAGGCGGCGAGCGAGTGCTGTGGTGCGCCGTACGCGCTATACAGGTACCCGCCAATTGATACCCGCTATACGCTTTTTCGCCATTTGATACGCGCCATTACTGATACACGCAGATTGCTACATGGGGTGTATGTTTATTCGCCTCCTCAGTCTCTGCTCACGTGTAGATTGACCTTCCAATTACGTCTAATCTCTCCGTCTCGACTATTTCTGGGCAAAGAACATTCTACCCACCTGTTCCTCGGGTACCTCGCTCATTAACCCTCCAGGAGCTTGATCCATCAGCGCAATGTTTCGTCTACACTGGCGACGTGGCGTCTCCTGATTCGCTGGCGGAGAGAGCACACAACCTGTTCGGAGTGGTCCTGCCCCGGCCAGTGGAGGTAACGTGTTGTGTCATGTGGTTACCACGTTACTATAATTCTGTGATATCACGTTTGAGTGCTCCGGCCAGTGGAGGTAACGTGTTGTGTCATGTGGATACCACGTACCATGTTTGGGTTACCACGTTACCACGTTTGAGCTGTTCTGTCCCGGCCAGTCGAGGTAACCTGTCGTACCGCCATTGGGTCGAGGCCTCCCTGTATTCATGCTTCACTCTCCTCGGCTCATCACCCTCGCTCCCTCTCCCACGTTCCCCGTGCTTCTCTCCCCTTGTCCCACTTACTAAGCCAGGTTCTCCGCAAGTCGTACCGCTGTCTAATAAAAGCTTCCCGCTACCCTCGCTTCACTCTCCTCGGCCAGTCACTTCAGCACTCCCTCTCTCACAATCCCTGTGCTTCTCCTCCCTTGTCCCCATTTCAAACCCTGGTCGTCCGCCTGTGCTACCGCCATCTAGTGGAAGCTTCCCTCTACCCTCGCTTCACTCTCCTCGGCCAGTCACTTCAGCACTCCCTCTCCCACGATCCCCGTGCTTCTCCTCCCTTGTCCCACTTACTAACCCAGGTTTTCCGCCTGTCCTACCACCATCTAATAGAAGAATCGCTTCACTCTCCTCGACCAATCACTCCCACTCCCTCTCCCACGATCCCTTCCCCTCTCTTCCATTGCCCCACTACTAAACCTGGTCGTCCGCCTGTCCTACCGCCATCTAGTGGAAGCCTCCCTCTACCCGCGCTTCACTCTCCCCGGCCAGTCCTTTCATTTCTCCTGGTTCTCCCAATGGTTACCCCCTTCCCCCATCCCCGCTAAAGGTCGTTCGCCTGTCCTACCGCCATCTAGTAGAAGCCTCCTTTTACCCATGCTTCGCCCTCCTCGCGCAATCACTCCTCTGCTCTTCCTTCCCCCTTCCCTCTTCCTTCCTCCTTCCCACTTTCCTATTCCCACAAACCCAGGTCGTCCGCCTGTCCTACCCCATCTAGAGAAACCTTCCCTCTATCCGCGCTTCACCCTCCTCACCCAATTTCTTCGGATCTTGTTAGTGTTAGCCTTCAATCTCACACTTTGTACTTTGTATTTGCTATATCCTAGAGTAGTGTAGTTTGCACATTGTGTTTGGTTGGGTGTACACCTACATCCCAACCAAAACCAAATGTAATCTTCAAGCAATCTCCAACCCACCAATTGGAGATTGCCTTGGGATTACCCCCAATCCCTAGGGATTGCCTCTGATTCCCTTCCCCAACTATTCTTTACCCTGCTTGGATGTACTTAAAGAGCTTCAAGCTCATTACTAGTGTATCGCTTCTAAGCCTAAGTTCTCTCATGGTATCAGAGCTCTACATCCGCACATGCGGATCGTGATCCTCCTATCTTTGCGGATGTTCTTCCCGCAAATCACGGCATAGCATCCTTCAATCTCGTCGCCGTCGATTCGCGACATTCGTGGGCGGAAATTCCCCCGCACCACTTTCCCGTCAACTTCGACGACGTGTTCAATTTCTATGGTACGCTCATCGACATTGCTCTAACTTATCGTTCCTTTTTCGCCATCCCTCAATTTCGTCACTGCGCCACCTCTTCTCGTCGAGCCGCCGCCCGTCGCCCCGCAGCTTCTTGTCGGGCCGCCGCCCGTCGCCCCGCAGCTTCTCGTCGGGCCGCCGCCCGTCGCCCCGCAGCTTCTCGTCGGGCCGCCGCCCGTCGCCCCGCATCTTCTCGTCGGGCTGCCGCCCGTTGCCCCGCAACTTCTCGTCGGGCCGCCGCCCGTCGCCCCGCATCTGCACTTCTACCCCCATTCCCCTCTTCTCACAGCTGAACAGGTGCAGCAGCGCAGCCGAGCAGCAGTGCAGCAGCACTGCGGAGCAGCAGAGTAGCCGCGAAGCCGTGCAGCAGCGTAGCCGCGAAGCAGGGGGTGGTGTGTGGGGGGGTGTGTGGGATTAGGGTTAGATCCACGGAAGTTGGCCGATTTTACCTAGCTTTGGCGGCCTAGAAAATCCTTCTACCAGGCATCTCGACGCGATCGACATTGACGATTTTCGCTATTTGTGCTCCGTCGGATTTTGAAATCGGTGACTATCGGTGGCTTAAGAGCGACGCTTCGCGCGAGATACCAAGGGATCCCCATCATGGCCTTCACCACGTCCACCATGGCCAACCCCATCACCCCGCTCCGTCTTGAAGCCGATGGCTCTAGCTCCAACTTCAAGGCATGGAGCTATGGGGTTGACAAGCACTTGCTGAGCTGTGACGTGCAGGGATTGGACCTCAACGATGTCCTCCTCAACCGTGGCAAGGGAAAACAGCCCTCTCTCCCTCGTGAGCCGACCGAATCCGCTAGTGAAGCTGACTCAAGGGCATATGAGGAAGCCGTTGAGAAGTACCGGAAGTGGGAGAAGACCGATGCTGCAATTATCACGTCTTCATCGCCTCCACCCCTCCAGAACTTGTCAACACGTTCCACATCTACCCTACCTCCAACGCCATCTGGAAGTATCTCCAGGATCGGTTCATGAACAAAACTGCAGCCGGAGCTGCCATCCTCATCCCCAGCATGTTCCAGGTCCGCATTGAGGATTGCTCGGGAATGGCCGACTACATTGCCAAGGTTCAGACCATTCATGACGAACTCAAGGAGCTGGGCATAGTCTTCCCCGAACAGGCCCCTGCAGCAGCTCTTCTTGTTGGTCTCACCACAGCCTACGAAATCACAAGAAAGATGCTCCTCACGCTGACTGCGGAAGAGCTCACTTTTGCCAAGGTCTCCACCGCACTCCTCTCTGCCGAGAAAGACTCCACGGCTCAAGCCAAGGCCTACACCATCCGTGCTCCCTTGCCTCAAGCAAGTGTCGCAGCAGCCCTTGCCTCGGCGCCCCTCCAGCGCAACCGCTCCCCACCGTGCACCTACGTCGTCAAGTATGGCAACCGCAAGGGACAAGTGTGTGGTGGCACTAACCACCCCCTTGCTACATGCTTCAAGAAGAAAGACGACGAATGGTACGCTATCCACGGCATAGACAAGAGGCCACCGAACTGGATGCGTGCACGTAAGGCGAACCTTGTTGAGGTCCAGGACCCCGCTTCAGCTAGTGCTAGTGATAGTGCTCCTGCTGATGTGCGTATCAACCTGTTGTTCCCTGGCACTGCCATGATTAATGAAGCTTCCCGCCAATACCTCGGCTCATCACAAGCACCACAATACATAGAGTTCACACTTGACAGCGGCGCCACTCACACTATACTCAAGGAGACACTCTCCTTCAAACCCTACGCAACACCCATCCCTCTCCTAGGAGCTGGCTCAACCTTCACCACTCTTGCCAAGGGTTCATCCACAGTCCCATGCCCCGCCTTCCCTTCCGGCACTGTCACTGGAATGTGCGTGCCTTCACTCCGCCACAATCTCGTGGCCCAAACGGAGATTCAGGAAGCTGGGCTACGCACCATCTTCTGGGAGAACGAGAACTATGGTGATATCCTCGACCCACTCACCAACAAGGTCTTGACTCGTTTCACCCTCAACAGCAACGGCCTTTACACGCTGCAAGTACCCATCCCACTGGTGTCAACCACCCAAGCAGAGGCAACTACCGCACCATGCTCGTGCCGCAGTTTGTCCAACCCGACCATACTCTACCATCATCGGCTCGGGCACCCAAACTTCCGCACACTTGCTGACATGGCCTCCAAGAAACTTCTACTCGACCTGCCAGCCTAACTTCCTCCACCACCAGACTCCCCCGCTCCCACGTGCCTTGACTGCACCAAGAGCAAATTGCGTCAACAGCCCCACCCGGCCTCACCCTCTGTCGCAGCAGCATCACTGGACTTGGTACACCTGGACGTCTGGGGCCCTGCCCCGGTTCCCGCACGAGGTGGTTATCGCTACTTCCTTGTTATCGTCGATGACCACTCTCGCTACGTCTCTGTCCACCTCCTCCACACTAAGGCTGCGGTTCCAAAGGTCCTCATGGCGTGGGTTAAACAGGCACAGACCACCTTTGACCGTAAAGTCAAGCGCCTCCACTCGGATGGTGGTGGTGAGTTTTGCAACGACAAGCTCAAAGCCTTCTGCTCTTCAGAAGGCATCCAGCAAAACTTCACCCTCCCTGACAGCCCGCAGCAGAATGGCATAGCTGAGAGCCGCAACCACACCCTGGTGCAGATCACTCGGTGCCTCCTCGGCCACTCCAACGCTCCGCACTCTCTCTAGGGGTACGCCCTCTACCACGCTGCCCTCCTCTACAACCTTTACCCCCACCCTCATCTTCCCGACACCACTCCAACCACACTTTGGCTCGGGAAAACGCCCACTGCTCTCTCTCTCTTCGCGTTTAAGGGTGCACCGCCTATGTCCTCCTCAACCCTCAGGCTCGACGGCAGCACGGCGGCAAGCTCGGTCCCAAGACCCAGACGTGTATCTACCTCGGGCACAACGCCGACTCGCCTGACTACCTCTTCCTCAACCCCTCCACTCAACAGCTGGTTTGGAGCCGCGAGATTGTCTTTGATGAGACCCGCCCATTCTACTCCACTTCGGGACGGGACCCTCTCTCTGCTCCACCCTCCCTCGTGTGGGCAGACTTTGATGCGCCTCCTGACCTCCCACCTGCACCGGCCCCCTCACCTCCTCCCTCTCCTGCCATTGCACCTTCCCCCTCAGAGATCTCTGACCCGCCCTAGCTGGTGTCCTCAGCGGCTGCCCCTCCATCCTCCTCACTTCCAACTCCGCCGACTGTGCAGCCACCTCCAAGCGCACCTATCACCTACCATCGGCGGTCCCACCCTCCGGCCCCACACCCTCCCACGGTTCCCCCTACCACAGAGGAACCCGCTCTCCCACAGTCGCCCGAGCTGATCACGTACCACCGGCGGCCCATTCCCCCGCCCAAGCCTCCTAAGTCAACCCCTCCGACACCGCCTGCCCCACCCTCTTCTCCGGTGGCTCATGGCACTCGCTCGCATGGCGCTGCTCTTCCACTAGCGCTGCTTCTTCAATACACAGCGATCACACCGCCTCCTCCTGCTGGGGGGGATGTGCCCTCTACCCTTCTGGAAGACTGGCATGAGGAGCTGTGTGATCTTCATGCAGTCATTCCTCAGCTCTCGCACATCTTCCCCGACATCACTGACTCACCTTCCCTCAACTTCGGCCTAGGGATTGCCTCTGATTCCCTTCCCCAACTATTCCTTACCCTGCTTGGATGTACTTAAAGAGCTTCAAGCTCATTACTAGTGTATCGCTTCTAAGCCTAAGTTCTCTCATGGTATCAGAGCTCTACAGGATCTCACTTCTGTTTTTCCTAGTCCCTCATCCCCACTCTCTCCTTTCTCCTACAGGTCGTCCGCCTGTCCTACCGCCATAGAGTGGAGGCCTCACATTATCCGCGCGCCACTCTCCCCGGCCAATCTCCTTCAAATCTCCTTCTGTTTCCTTTGGACCCTTCCTCCCCTCCCCCATCTCCCCCTAAAAGGTCGTCCGCCTGTCCTACCACCATCTAGTGGAGGCCTCACATTATCCGCGCGCCACTCTCCCCGGCCAATCTCCTTCAAATCTCCTTCTGTTTCCTTTGGACCCTTCCTCCCCTCCCCCATCTCCCCCTAAAAGGTCGTCCGCCTGTCCACTGCCATCTAGTCGAAGCCTCTCTCTATCCGCGCGTCACTCTCCCCGGCCAATCTCCTTCAAATCCAACTCCCTCTCCCACAATCCCTCCCCCTCTCTTACCTCATCCCCCTTCACACAATATCAGGTCGTGCGTCTGTCCTACCGCCATCTAGTAGAGGCCTCTCTCTATCCGCGCTTCACCCTCATTGGCCAATCACTGGGCTCCATGGCTCTCGCACTAGAGGCCGTTCTCCGCCGCCCGCCCGCTGTTTTCGTGGATACTGCTGGATACGCGTTCTCTTATCCTGTAGTGAAGCTGCTGTTAGGGGGACGAGCAGCAGGAGGAGGAGGGGGAGGGAAGGGGGGAGGGTGTTTGGTGGTGTGCTACACGCACTATCCGACGATCAGTGGCGACATGCTGCAGCGGGTGCAGCAGCGCACTAGCATGTATAACAACGACGATACTGTGGCCAACAGGTGGGTGCATTGAAGGGGGAAGCACGAGATAGGGAAAGACAGGGGGATTCAGGGGGAAGATAGGGGGAAGACAGGGGGAAGACAGGGGGAAGACAGGGGGAAGACAGTAGGACACGACATGCTGCAGAGAGTGCAGCAGCGCACCAGCATGTATAACAACGATGATAGTGTTGCCAACAGGTGGGCGGGTGGGGTGGGGGCAAGAGGGGAGCAACAGGGGACGTGCAGCAGCGCACCAGCATGTATAACAACAATGCCACTGTTGCCAACAGGTGGGTGCAGGGAGTGGGCGCAAGGAGTGGGGAAGGGCGAGATAGAGGGGAGATAGGGGGACGACAGGGGGGCATGGCATGTTGCAGAGAGTGCAGCAGCGCACCAGCATGTATAAAAACGATGATACTGTTGCCAACAGGTGGGTGAGTGGGTGGGGACAAGGTGAGGAGATGAGGGGAGAGGAGGGGAGGGAGGGTGTTTGGTGGTGTGTTATACGCACTATCCGACTATCAGTGGAGACATGCTGCAGCGGGTGCGGCAGCGCACTAGCATGTATAACAACGACAGTACTGCCGCAAACAGGTGGGTGCATTGAGGGGGAGGGGCAGCAGCCAGTGGAGACGGTGCATGTTGCAGAGAGTGCAGCAGCGCACCAGGCCTAATGTGCTGATGAAGGCCTTTGCTGGCCGAAACGCGTTCTCTTAGCAGGCTTGCTGCGTTTCGAATCCAACAAACTTCAATTGAGGGGGAAGGGCAGCAGCCAGTGGAGACGGTGCATGTTGCAGAGAGTGCAGCAGCGCA